CTGCGAAGTCCAGGTCATCCAGCTGCGTCCTAACTGTCCAGGTGATACCGTGCTTCCCTCCAGATGTCGACGTCTTCATAATCCAGTCGATGACCAGGAGAAAGAGAAAGGGTGAGAGTAAGCAACATTGCCTGACACCGGTCTTCACCTCAAAAGAGTCTGTTAGTTGTCCTTCGTGTACGATTTTGCAGTTGAATCCATGATAAGAATTCCGTATGATGTTAACTATTTTCTCAGGCACACCGTAGTGTCGAAGAAGCCTCCACAATGTTTTCCTATCCACGCTATCGAATGCTTTCTCGTAGTCGATGAAGTTGATGTAGAGTGGTGAGTTTCATTCAATTGATTGTTCCACAATGATCCGTAATGTAGCAATTTGGTCAGTACGTGATCGATCCTTACGAAATCCGGCCTGTTGATCTCGAAGTTGGGCGTCTACGAAGTCCTTCATTCTGTTTAACAATACCCTGTTGAAGACTTTGCCTGGTATCGAAAGAAGAGTGAATCCTGTGTGTAGTCCTTACACTTTCTGAGATCGCCTTTCTTTGGTATTTTGATGAGGTATCATTCTTCCCAATCTGATGGTACTTGTTCCTCATCGTGAATCTTGTTGAACAGAATGTGAAGTATTTTTGCAGTTGCTTCCACGTCTGCTTTCATTGCCTCTGCTGGAATGTTGTCTGGCCCTGTTGCTTTGCCGCTCTTGATTTGTCTGATGGCCATACTGATCTCCTCAATCGTAGGTGCGCCAATATTAATTGGGAGGTCCGTGGATGCTTCGATGTTGGGTGTGTTCAGTGGAGCTGGTCGATTCAAGAGTTTCTGAAAGTGCTCTACTCACCTATTTCGCTGTTGTTCAGTGTTGCTGATTACTTTGCTTTGCTTGCTTTTCACTGGTCGTTCTGGTTTACGATAGTTACCGGCGAGCTTCTTTGTTGTTTCGTACAATTGTCTCATGTTTCCTACTCTTGCAGCCTTTTCCGCCGTCATTGCAAGATCTTCCACATATTTCCGTTTGTCAGCTCTGATGCTCTTCTTCGATTCCTTGTTTGCTTCTGTGTATGCAGCTTGTGCCTTAACTTTCTCTGCCCTTGTTCTGCTGACATTGATTGCTGCCCTCTAGTTCCTCCTTTCTTCAATTTTTGCGAGAGTATCAACAGAGATCCATTCCTTGTGATGGTACTTCTTGTGACCCACAACTTCGTGACATGTTGAAGTAATTGCCTCCTTGATCCCTTTCCAATTGTTCTCCAATGTTGTGTCCTCTCCATTGAGTAGATCCTGAAAGGCCTGGAACCTATTGGTGAGGGCTATCTTGAATTCGTTGAGCTTTACAGTATCCCGAAGAAAGGCCGTATTAAACTTCTGTGATGTTGTCTGTCCCGTTGTCCAGTGCTTCTTTAGTTTCAGTTTCATTTTGGCGATCAGCAAATGGTGATCTGAGGATATATCAGCTCCTCTCTTGGTTCTCACATCCTCCATGGTCCTTCTGAACGTTTTGTTGATACAGATATGGTCAATTTGGTTGTGAGTAGTGTGGTCCGGTGAAATCCACGTAGCTTTGTGAATGCGTTTGTGTGGGAATATTGTGCCACCAATGACCAGTTTGTTGAAGGCACATAGGTTTGCAAATCTCTCACCGTTTTCGTTCCTTTCTCCCAGTCCATGTCGTCCCATGATGTCTTCATATCCAGTGTTGTCTATGCCAACCTTGGCATTCAGGTCTCCCATAAGAATCGCCAAATCCTTTGGTGAACATTTCTCGACGATTGACTGCAGCCTTTCGTAGAACTGATCTTTATCGTCGTCATCGTAGTCATTGGTAGGAGCATAACATTGGATGATGTTCATTGTAATGTCCGCTTTCTTTGTTTTGAAGGATGCTTTAATGATCCTGTGTCCATGAGATTCCCATCCTATCAGTGCCTTTTGTGCATGTTTGGACAGCATCAATGCAACTCCTTGTGTATGTGAGGCATTTTCCTCTTCAGGACCAGAGTATAACAGCAGTTCCCCTGAAGCTAGTCTCAGTTGTCCTACCTGTGTCCAATGCGTTTCACTGATGCCGAGCACCTCCAGGTTGTATCTTTTCATTTCTGCAGCAACTTGAAATAGTCTTCCAGTCTCCCACAATGTACGAACGTTCCATGTACCTAAAAAAATGGTTGCTCTGGTTGTCAGAAGAGGCATTGGCCCCGTGACTTCCGAGGGAACTCGGCTTTCATCACGAGACGTCATAATTCATCTTCCAACTCCCAGGGCAGAGTTAAAATGGTTTGAATTATTTTTTCTGGTTAGCGTTTTTTTGGCAAGTGAGATTTCGACGGAATGGGGTCGCCAAACCCATGCCCAACCCTTCTCTTTAATCCGGGCTTGGGACCGGTAGTAGCCCCGAAGGTTCTACTGGCGGAGTTTCATACCTGATAAGTTGCAGCATATGTTTGTTGTTCAGTTTATGGTAAATCCGCTAAAGTTAATTGAAATGATTACCTTCAGTCATGATTCACCACAACTAGACGGTCAGGTTGTCTCGCTTCCCTGATACTCTTATAGCGAATCGAAATATAATACTACTTCGCGAGATAACAAATGTTAATCCCGTTAATCTAGTAATCAGATAAAAGCCTCGTGATATCGAGGCCAGAAGGCGTACAAGCGGCTAACGTCCAAGCAGAAGATGCGCGAAGGAAGAGAATGGGAACAAAACGCTTGGCACGCGAGAGATAGTCTTTTGTACGGATAAACAAAAGGTGTACAATATAACAATTATTGTCAAGATTAAGTACAATAATAAATGTTTATATTTCAGCAATTGTGTTTTCTTCTTAAAAGCATACCACTACACTCTCAGTACAGATGATTTGCTAGAAACATATATACTTAAATACAAACATCAATAAATGAAAACAGATAGGGTGGAAACACCTTATTAACTGTCCTGACCACATGGTATCACTTGCCATTCAACACCACGGAGTTTGAGGTCAAAACACATTAGTTATCTTTTCTACTGTGGTGATAAAATCAGTTTGACAGGTGATTCGGTTATAGTTCAGTGTTATGTCACCTGTTCTGCAACAACAACATAACAATAACTTTTATCTTGATCCAGTGAAACCTGATAGCTAAAGTAAATGGCTTCGTTATTGAATGAACAAGTAAAATTTTACCGGAGAAGTAGTGCATTTAGTTAAAAGGATCATAGTAATATTAGTATTACGAGTCTCAACTAAGCTGCTGAATATGCCAGATCAATAATTCCTCCTTATCCATTCTAAAACTTGACAGATGGTGGGTGCGTTCAACTTACTCTCTCCGTTTTTTTCTGTGAAGCAATTCAGTTTCCAGACATCGAGGCACCTCAAGCAATAATCCCGTTAATATTTACCTGAAAAAGTTGGCTGACTACATATGCCACTGCATCAGTACTAAGAAGATCGATGTAACATAACTAAACATATGAAAATCACCGGGTGAACAGTTTAGAACTAGCCTTTCTATTCGGTTTGGCAATCAAATGTAGGTTCCGAGGGACCGGTAAGCTGTTAATGATTCGTTGCTTCAAGTACAAGATGTATAGAGCGAAAATGACTACCATAAGCTGTTCTGGAGTGTTATGTAAAACGATGTTTACAGATCACGATGAAAACAAGGTGATTTCCGACTAATCTTAATAAGCTGTCGCAACAAATGAGCTCCATTTATCACGCACAAATTTAGTTATTATTTCCAGCCATGAACTTTATTCTTGATAGTCTGGGATTATATTTGACTGATTGTTTAAAAGGTATAACTTGTTCCATTCTGGCCTTAAAACATTTGATGACACAACCGAAGATAAAATATTCTTGCGGAAAATCGATACTAAATATCAAAATAACATTGATAGTCTTCCCAAAAAGCCCCAAGACATGTTTTGGAGACAATAAAATCTTCGTCCAAAATTCTTAGAAAAGTCATCTTTGTTTAGCTCTCGTTATCAGTACTAGCAGATACCCAAGGAGCAAGGGGACTGATAATCAAGTAAAGCAACTTCTGTTTTAAAAAGACGCAAAGATGGATAAGATTTTGAGTAAAAAAAGGAATTCTCCATTCACCAAATACCCAAGCTTTTTTTGAAAATGAAAATTCCGTAAAATTCTCGTCGTCGCCCCCCCCCCCTTTTGTTTGTCTGTTAGTGTTTTTTGGAATCCCTTCAAAAAGTGAGGTACTAGAAAACCCCACTAATCTCTCCAGTGTTCAGAAACCAGGAAGACGCTTGGGTCAGTCAGTATTACTTAAGAACTTAGAAATGGTTTGAAAACGACGGGTTAATTTTTACATCTTGATCAAGTAATTAAAAAGATTCTAGAGCCTCTCAATCGCACAAACCCATAAATATCCTTGTTTCCACACAGGAGCAAACCACAAAAGTGAGCAGGACTCCTGTGTTCAAAGAGATTTCTGAGGGCTACAAAATCAGCGTCTAAGAATGCAAATAGAAGACGTACAATTAGTAATCACGGAAATGTTACACATCCATATATGATTGTGCTATATAAGTAATGAACAACAAAACACTTGTTAACAGCCCTCCCTTTAATTTGAATCGAAAACCCGCATCTCATCTTTTCTACGAGTCAGGCATCATGTAAATCGTTTGGTGGCATTGAATCTTGAATAATCGTGTCGAGCAAAGATTATAAGATATAGTAACAAGCGACAAATACACATAACAAAGCCAAATGAGGATTAAACGTGAGTAGTACAATTGTGCAAACACACTTAACCACAGTACAAATATTCTGTAATAGTAAGCAAAACTTTGGTTAGTTAAAAATAAAGTGCATGGTGAGAATAGGTTAGTCAAGTCAAAGTGCACAGTAATAAAATAATCTCTGTTGAATCAGAACTCTGTACAAATGGTCAAATCTTTTTAATTGGACTAGTATAGTATTCTCAGCTTATTGCTATTACAATAATTCATAAAACAGGTATTGGAAAAAATCTGCCCCCGGTGTTTATTCCCCATCTGGAATTAAGAATTAAAAATTAACAATATAAACATAGTTTTCATCATAAGCGAATATCAGCTAGAGAACCATGGAGAACAAAAGAACACTAGACAAGTATAAGATCCTGTAGAGGTTCTATAGTAGTGAGCGAACCTATCAAAGTCCAATGTTTAAACAATATTCATGTGCTTACGTTGCGAGTAAAGTAGTTACTAACTATCCGATAATCACGACACTAAATGACCATTCGACAACAGTTGAAAGCGAGCTACACCGGATTTTTATCTAATAGTTCAAAGGTTTCGCGCTGGACACTAAACATCAAAATCGTAGGTTCGATTTCACGTTCGGTAGTGGTTGCGACCGATTGGAAAGTCTTACAAATCCAGTCACAGTGGGATGCTTCCTACTTTTCAGAAATTTCCTTGACAATATCAATTCGCGATCAAAACCATTTCCGAATCATACGAAGTACTAATTGGAAAAACAATGCAGTGTTTTAGATAACTGAGCACTGATTTGCATCCAACAGCAAAAGGAAAGAACCACTATATAACTGATCCTGATAATTGAGTATAATGACAACCAAACCATATTTTGCCGAATCCAATATATTAAAATACATGGGAATCAGTGTTACAGCTACTGCAAATAGAGCTTAGTGTTAATGTAAAAGGGATGTAATTGTTTGTACAAAACGGTTACGAAAATTTTCTTAATAGTCCTAACTTGGCAATTATTTAATTTACAATGTATAGAGATCAGATATTCGTGGATAATTTCTAAAAACCAGAGACAATAAATATTAAAAACTTACCCGAATCAAATACTAATTTCTTAGGAACTGATGAAGATACATCCATACATCCTTTCATATTCAGTTTTACTTTATTCTTATGGAATTCATCTATAATCATATTAAATAAAAAATCTTACTGATCACTCTATATTGCACTTAAAAATAATTATTTACTTAATGTTCAAGCTATTTATGAGTATATAAACACAGGACAATGGTTTAATACTGACTTAATAACATGCTGAATAACAGGTATAACTAATTAAGTCGTTAGTCGACGAGGTCCTGATTTTGATTCATGGTACCAAATAGTCAGAATAACCTTATTGGACAATTGGTTTTACGGCTAAACTAATGAACTTGAAACAGTTTGCCCATGTAATTTTAGATTGAAACTGAACTGAAGTTGGAATGAGGGTAAAAAGAAAAGGTGGTCAGCTCATGACATGGCGCCGTAGCACAAAAAAAGCTGTATAGGACTAGCACCTGTTGGTGAATTAAGAATCCCTGACTAGGACCTTATAGATACTGGAACTTATTGGACTGAAACTTTATTCGACTCACCTTAAATAGAAACAGATGACAATCATACTATAGGTTACCTTTCTATTCTTTAGAGAAATGGATGGGACTCCTGTAACTGGAAACATCTATCTCTGTTTTATTGTTAACTGGACCTTATTTCCAAATGCAAACTGTGGCTTATTCAGTTATTATACTTATTTGCTTACTTTGCTCTAGATTTACTCTTTTTCGTCTCTCTTCACAATATCGTTTCTATATCCCGAAATAGGCTAAATATTTTTACTCAGTTGTACTAGATTTTATGCGGATTAAATAAACAAAAAATGTAGTATCGCAATCACGAGAACATTTGAAATATCCTGACTTGTTTTTTTCAGATTTCAATTCAAATAAATTAATCTTAGGTGAGTTCTAGAATTTTGATGCATCACTAGAGTCGAATATAATTATAAAAATGGTAAATGAAGATAAAATAAAAGCACATTACCTACTTGACTCGGGTAACTTACGATTTATAGCCGCATTGTTCACCTCTTTCTTTATTTTATTTTTCTGAGATCTGTGCCTTCGATTGGCAGGAACTGGAAGAATATATGTGATAAATTAAGTGAAGTTATGGTGTAGTGAACGAGAACACAGGTGGGGCAACCGAATTGTATTTAACGAAAATTACAGAGTTACTCAGTAAAATTGGAAAACCATATCGTAAATTGTTCATTTGCAAAATATCAGTCCATCATATCGAACTGGACTGTTCCTGTTGCAAAACATCAATCCATTGTCACTATTCATGCGTTTCATACAAATCCCATTGTTTTCTAACTCTTCCTTTCTTGATCTTCCCCCATATTCTGCTGCCAGACATTACGTTGACACTCACGTCATATACTACTTAAAGTAGCTCACACCACAATGGTAATACAACCTAAGGTCAGTGCACATACTAGTCAGTGAAATGTTCCAAAATAAGGCTTGTAAGGTGAAAATGTATAAACTAGCACACTGATTAATAAACATTTAATGTATATAACAATATTCATCAGTAAAGCAGTCTTAATAATTAGGACACTCGATTTGTTGTCACTAAGTTATAGGTTCAAAGTTTAATTCACCTATTTTTGTATCAACAATCAGGTAGTGGGGGCCAACATGGTAATATCACGTGACACCCACGTGATACATTTTCTATAATTGTGCCAAAGTGATAACTGTTTTCCTGTAGTTGTAGATGTATTTTAACTAATAGAATTTAGAAAAAAGAAAAACGAGCGAAATTACATTCGTACCCCATAATCGACAGGAAATTTGGTAACCCATAACAACTTCATTCTTGAACATTTTTAAAGCTGCATTACGCTGAGCATTTTTTTTGAAGAATATGAACACATTTCTATGCAGAGAAAAATAGAATGTTGAGAGGAAACTAGTATATATAAAATAGGAAAGAATTTAGACTAAAATTTCCTGATTACTTTTCTCCCATTTTGTTTAAATACAAGTTTAAGGACATTAGGAACAACGAACCTAATTATAGATTATAACCAACACTATAACCTCATATTTACAAGCGCGACATTTTATTCAGACACCAATAAGAAATTCAAAGCAGAATGATAAGATTGAGCAATTTTACTGAACCTAATTACACATAATTAATAACGGAAATAAATATATACCACCAAAGAAGCTAAAGTATTTATGTACATGCTAACTTCTAAATAGCTTTTACCATAAAAACAACTGAGCAGTGAAGTTTCGTGTAACAAATTGAAGGCAATACTGATAAAAAAACACGACTATTTTCCTCCAATTAATTTCACGTACATTTGTATTTACTACAACAATCATTATTGTAGACCCAACTGATAGCGGAGTTATTCCCTAGTGGACATGATACCATTTTGAAACGAAAAACAAACCTATAATAATGGTGTTTCTTGTAGATGTGAACGAAAATTATCAATAAATAAATTTAATAAATTAATACATGCAAGGATTGTCTTAAAAGCAGCATCGAAAACATGAGTGGCAACTTACGAAGTATATTCTGAATTTGATGCACTGAAATCTAATGTAAAATCACTAGTACTCAAGTTTTACTTTCCAGTTCACTCTTTCCTTACAAGAAGTATGGAACATTTCGGTAGAACCTATTGACACATCACGTCGACTAATGATGCCCAAAACTTTTATATCACAGGTGAAAAATATTAAAGTAACAGATAACATTCGTGTACTGATCTCATATCTCAAAGGATGATATCTAGTGAAAATATCTTCTAATAGGTTAAAAATAGTTCAGGTCCCTTATTTTTATCACGTTGGTCCTATGGTATGGTTACTATTAAATGCAAATAATGAATTAACTCTACAACTGTATGATACACACTTGTATACTATGATAAACTCGATCTTGTCCTACCTTACGCCCGGAAGTTTACATTAAAATGCCAGATACACAGACAAGCACAAATATAGGACTTAATAACTCATAATCGGCATAGTTTACAAGTGAAGAAATTATCACAGAGGTTTCTAATAATTGTAACTTGATATTTTTATAACGTATTTGTTGATTAAGAGACGAATTATCAAAAGTTATTTAGACACACTGAACCTACCTAGTATTGGAGTCTTTAACTGGTGCCGAGCTTAAATCAATTGAAGATGTTTCAGAAAATAATGCTTTGATATGATCATCTTCGATCACATTGGGTACGTTTTTAAGTTTTAAACCATAACTCATACTTGAGTCGGCAGATTTGGACGACTTCGACTCACACTGTAGATTCGCTCTAACCAGCCGATCATTAATATATTTATGTTTACATTCGTTTACAACAATTTGAAGATCTTCCTCATTTTTCATTTCTAATATACAAGAACTAAAACAAAAACAAAATTTAATGTAATAATGAATATAATGGATTCAGGTATGTAGTATAATCATATTTTTGAATTTTCGAACTCAATGTGACGTTTGTGACGGACTAACATACTAAGAACTGGAGAACTGCTGAAAACCAAAGAGCATTGTACAACGGATTCTTCTTCTTAGTTCGGAACTCTTGAGCAGCAGGTACAAAATAACCACATACCTAGATCAAAACCAATACCACCAAATTTAAGTCTATAAACTCTCCCTAAAAACATGTTGATAAAAAAAAGATAAGTGTGTACTTACATCAGTGATCAGTTTTCAGTAGCTCCAGTGAGAAATCATGTGACTAAGTCACAACAAATGCCATTTGATAGTGGTCACACCATATTATGACAAAATGACTAAAGCTGGGAATGCAAACACTTGGATGAAAGCCCAGCAGTATAAAGGCGTTATGTTTCCTATGGCAGCTAGAGACACTGGGTTCTATTTGATTGGTTTGTCCATGTTTTAGTTTGATTTTTTTTTGGATTATTCTTGAAAGAATCGCACATATACTCACATGTACTAGAATTTGTTGAATTCTTCTTCTTTGACAAGTTCGATAAATCGTTTAGTCAGTGTTTAATCTATTCCGTTCACTTAAGACAAAGCTACAAAGTGGACAGGGAAATTGCCTACCTTGATCGTTCAGAGTAATCAATCCCAGGAATACTTGCCATTTGTTATTACAAGAAAGTATCAAGCAGATAAGTAATTTTAAGCTATATTATCCTAAATGTATCTTTGGCGGATACAGTTATCATTTATGAATAATATAATTCAATTTGTTGATCATTTGAAATGCAGAACTTGACTCAATAAGTATACATATTTACTTGGTTACTTTAATCAAATACTCATTGACCATGAAACCATATTTGGGATTTATCTATTAGTGCTGTTGTAATCATATATAAGTGATTCACAAAAATTAATAGTTAATATAGTTCGACACTTCATTTTAAGTGGTAAAGAAAAGTAATACCCACCCATTAAATATTCCAAGTTTATTTACATCTAAATGAATACGACTGGCCAATGGGAAGTGTTCTTTAATCTCAGTTGCAGTAAGTGAGTACGGCAAATTTCGTATAATTAAACAGTTAGGACTATTAGTTACAAATTTTTTTGACAGATTAGACTGGATAGCATTTTCTGTGTGTCCAACAACCGTTCGATAACTTGGCTAAATAAAAGATAGTTATTTTCTCAAATAAACACAAGAATAAACTGATACATGTACAGCAAATATCCAGATACACATGCGATATCTGAAATAAGACTAATTCGTACATAGTTCAATGGATGATTATCAATAGAATTATTCGTAGTAGTAGCTGCAGGATCCCAAATGAGGTTTGGACTGAGGAATAACTGTCTAGGTAGGTTAGATACGCGTCTTGCCCAGTCGAAATAAAAATAAGTGATTGGGTAAATAACGGTTCTAATATTTATCATAAATATAAATACACATCATTACCTAAACAATAGTACCACAGCTATTCCACCGACAATTGTTCAATTACTCAAATGATATTCTGTCCCTCCTGGATAGATCAGAATCGTTCGACAGATAATATTTGGTTTTTTTATAACACAGTGTTTCCTATTCTGGAAGGGTGCTTCAATTCACAATCAAAACGCACAATTCCAGTCAAAGCAAGCAATCCAATCAAAAGAGGGACAAATCAATATGGCTGTCGCCATGACTAAGTATCAGCTTAAACAACATAAATGGAGTTCAGAAAGAAACATAGAAACTCAGTGAAGGCACAAAAAATAGAAACTATAATAAAATACAAATGTTATCAACTCAAATGGAATCGAACAGACTAACAAAATGCACAACTGAAGGAATCAATAAGGACAAATTATAAATGTATACATGGAGGGATTTTCACAAACAAAGCCTTCATAAATGGATCTTAAACCATTAGGTCGTAAACTTAAATCATATCTGATTTACTTTTGTATGGGCAGTTAGTATCACCAGCTTTTAGACATATTTGGGTTCAAAGTTTTGAGTACAACAACAAGCACTTGATTGCCAAGTTATGTATTGTTATTAATATCATTATTTACAAGGATAAACTTTATGGTCAGTTATTTCATTGAACATCCATAGGTATTAGAGCAGAGTTAACAGCAAAACTTAATCTAATTTCGAAATGTATTTTTATTCATATTCAATTGTCTTTTGTTTGTTTTACAATGATATAGGCTCATACATTGAAATTCATGAAACTAAACATCTCTGACATTTAAAAATCAACAAAAAGGTTACGGGCAGCTAGACCATGTTATTAGGCCATACAGTTACTGACCGTTAATTATGTCAGTATCCTCAAGATGGGAATAATCAATACTTGATAGACTTAGGTGAAATAGTCTGAAATCAGTCTTAATGGTGTAAATGTATTCGTCCTTCATCTTCCTTTAAATCTAAAAAGCTGAAATATTCTAAAGATCATTTTATCACTCCTTTACTTTTTTATCGACATTTTTGATGTTTGCTTTACCAGTGCCAGTGGTGTGATGGTTCGGACTTTCCACTTTGCAAACCGAAAATGACAAATTTTTATCAAAGGAATTCACTTTATTAAATACTTTAATCACCATTGATATACTGATTTTAACTCCTTTTCATTTTGTTTACTAAATTTCATTATGATTCACTGAAGTATTTTAAGTAGAGCCGTTACATTTTTGTTTCAGGTTCTAGGTTGTTAGTAGTTTATTGAGTTAAGATTTATACATTAATTATATTTTAGTTTTGTGAAATGAGTATTTATTTCTTTTATCATTTTGAAAGTGAGACAACAGTAAATAACCTGAAGACACCTAATTTCAGAAAGTACATTTTGGTAGTGGTAACAAACAACTCTAAAAACGGAACCATATCACTGGTTCAATGACTATAAATACCGACGGATGAATAAAACTAAAAGGGATGAGGAGTGGGAGTTTGGACATGCTACCCAACTGAAAAAACTCATATTCACAAATTTGATTCGGCACATCATATCTTTTGAGAATGAGGAGTGCAATGCTTAAAAAATAAACATGACAAGTATATACACCTAACAAAACAAACCGTGGCAAATAAACAAAAAGAACACATGAAAAAGTCGAGTTTAGTCAAATTATACTAAATGTATAATACTCACTTACTTTGACGCCATCAAATTTAATTGACTTTAATCGATTCTTAGCATCTAAGTAATCGTCATTACTGGAAAATTCTAGGAGTGCGTGCTTCGAGGCAGCTGTACTACGCAACTTTACACGAATAGCAGATGGGAAAATGTCCTTCAAAATCGAGTTATTGACAGTACATGGCAGACTGGTAATCAACAACTTTGGTATTCTATTTATTGACTCCTGATCATTAAAAATTGTACAAATTAATAACAATTGTGACTTTGAAAAACAAGTGCTAACATTTCTTTTTATCTGTAGATTAACTCGAACAAGCTGAAAGACTAAGAATTATTCTTAAGAAAATGCTTCACTGTGTAGCTCATAACTCAATTAACCCAAAAATAAGTAACACTAACGTACGAAAATTGCATACAACAAAGATAAAATCATACTGAGACAAACTAGTACAAAAAATTTGACTGACGTTTTGTGCATTAATTGTAAATATCTATCAAGGACAACCTTTTTTAAATACGATAAGTATTAAAGTATTTCGAAAAGCAATTCGTTGGTTAATTGAAACATGAACGTAAAAGCATAGAAACCAAATGAGATTTACACTTTGGCCACAAGGATGATAAATAGTAGGGTAGTGAATTGTGACACGAATTTCGATTAAGCTCAGGCTGATAAGACCTACACAGTGATTGCGAACAGTGGTGAGTAGCAAAAGCAAGAACGATGATAGGTTATGTTAGACAACTTTTCCGCCTTATCAAGGAAACTGGTACTAGGAATTCATTTGTTAGTGAAACTATCTCAGAAAAGGATGGTCGTATCATTCATTCTCGACCCAGGAAATTGGGTCGATAGACAGAAAACTGTGGGGATCAGTTCAACTCGTATCCAACCACACTTCGGTAGTCAACCTAAATGGCATATGGATGTAAGTCATCCGACTCTTGATGAAGTTGAAAAAGCTATAGAAAATCTGAAGCGACGGAGCAGTAGAGCCTAACAGGCTTGCTCATGAGATTTCTAATTATGGTGGTCCAGTTTGAACAGTTAGATTGACTGAGATCTTAGGTGGAATTTGGGAACTGGGCATAATCCCATCTGACAGGTCGCAATCACTGATTGTCCCAGTCTACGAAAAAGGACAATAGTCCTCTTGTGACGATCACAGAGGGATCAGTTTGACTAATATAGTGTCTAAGATATTGGCTTCAATAATACTCCGTTTCCTAACTAGAACTCGTGAGAAGCAAACTAGAGAAAACGAGGCTAGTTTTAGACCTAGAAGTGGCTGCATAGATAACATATTCACACCACGTCAGCTGCTGAAACACAGACACGTTCAGACGTCCCACAATAGTGATGTATATCGACCTCAAAGCGGCATTTGGATCTGTCGATCATAAGGTTCTGTGGCAGTGTCTTTCTTTTCAAGGTGTACCAAAGAAGTACATTAACCTCATACAAGCTCTCCACTCGAACACTACTGGTTGAGTTATAGCTTGAGTTATACCTGAACTAGTGATAGGGAGTGAAGCAGTTGAGCGTGTTGACCGCTTCACTTATCTCGGGAGTCACATCAGTGCTGGTCACCTGGTATGTGACGAAATCTCAGCAAGGATACAAAAGGCTCGATTGGCTTTTGCCAACTTACGTTACTTAAGGCGTAGGCAAGATATCCGTTTGCTAACCAAACGACGAGTCTACTGCTCAGTTCACTCTGTCCTATTCTATGGCTGCGAAACATGGCCAGTCAGAGTAGAGAATATTCGTATGTTATAAGTATTCGATTACAGATGTCTTCGAAGCATTGCTCTTATATCCTGGGACAGTGGAGTAAGCAATGCTTGGGTTAGGAAACGAGTACTAGGTAGGGATCGTGAATCATTCGATAAAGCAGTGATTATCCATCATTTGGGGTGTTTGGGACATTTGTTGCGTATGCCTAGCCACTGACTGCCTCGTCGAGCTGTTTTGCGACATACGAATAGGTTGGAAGAAAGCTAGGGGAGGCCAGATCAAAATATGAAACACCCCTGAATTTGCTGAAAAGTGGACTGAGTCATGTTGGTAGACGTCGACTACCTGGTTGGTGCCCACGTAGTGATAGTAAGCGACAGTTAGAGACCTTGAACGATATGGCTTAAAATCGTTTGCGATCGCGCAGCTGCACCCATTCTTTGTATTCTCTGGAGTGCTAATCTTCTGAATTCCTCATTACCTCTAAGTTTCTCGTACTAAAATTATCTCACTGAACTATAATTTTCGAATAGTATTCTTCTACATTACCGCGAATACTTCTACTGTCTCTGCTACTATGGGATTTGAACTGACAAGTGCGTCTCTGTGCCAATGTGGTATATATATATATATATATATTTACCGTTAAACATCTTTAAAATAAGTCGTTGAAAAGATATCTCTTTGCTGAACTTGGTGCTTTTTTATTGCTCAAATAGGAATCACGTTTATGGACAATACGGACAAAACTTACCTCCTTTTTTAATTTACGGTCATACTTTTCTTTTATGGGATGTTCCATATTACCGCTGCAAGGTTGATTTGACTTGCCTAAATCGATGTTACTTTCTGACACTTTTGTGGAGAGACGATCAGCAGACTTTATTCTTTTTAAACGTTTTCGAGTCCGAGATTTAAAGTCTACTTCATTATGTGCCATCCTTTTTAAAGATACCTGAAGTGTTAACAAACGAATTCACTTCACAGTAAAGAAGTTTCGCACAGTTGGAGAAGAATGATTAGGTTGGTGTTGTCAAATTTTTAATTCATTAAATAAAGTAAATTCAATAAGAATATAAAGGAGAACAAAAATTATGTAGTTTAAGAACATTAAGAACAAATGACACCAAATAAAATTACAGCATTTAGTTTTTTTTAAAAGCTACGCTATATTTCTTTCGTGCATAATAAAAATTTTAAAAATAATGACAAAAAACAGAGGACAATCGGCATTTTCTAACAGCCATATTTTCCCCATAGAACAGAGATGCCTTATTAGTAAAACTAATGGTGAACCATAACCTACCCTCAAAATGTAGGACCTAACGTGTGCTTTGGTTCAAATTAGCAGTGACAATATGAAGCATAATGGAAGGAAAATTAGCAGTGCAATGGAAGGCCAAAATCGACAGTTCAAAACGAATAAAACAAGTTGAGAGGAACGAAAAATATGAAATCAGATTAAATTTTCCGACAGAAACGAATATACAAAGTAAAGGTATAAACATGACATAGCACGAAAAATATTCATTTTATCCATATATTTTAGTAAGGGAAAGCTTCACAAATTGAGTGGCCCTGAGATAAAATGGAAAGGCAGTATTGAGTAAATGAATTATAACTGCACTTCACACAGAATATAATGAACGATCACAGGTTAACGAATAACTTAGTTACCTGTTTCCAAAATGAAACAAAGTCTATCCACTCTGTTAGCGATATAGTTAACTAGCTTGTAGGTTTGACATCCAAATACTTAGTGGTAGCCTTTAGAAGTAGGTTTACCTTTTTAAGGGATAATCGCCAGAAACTTTTAGAATATTGGTTTAAGGCTGCTTACCGGTAATCTCCAACCACAAAACCTCTCATGCCCTGGTACAGTCGAAGACTTTTATATGATGCGTGTATATCCACAGTCAAGGAAGCCCAACTCATTGCCTTTTCACAACCGGGGTGTTGTTAACGAAGTTGAGAAAATGAAAAGCGAGTATCTAGCGCTTCAAATAGGTTGGTGAGTACGAAGATCCCCTAGAATTGAGACAACTTAATTTCAAACCAATGGAGCACATCGGCTTCACGACCCAGTGGGAAGGAATGAACATACTGTCACCAGCTACCATAGGACTGCATCTAACGTTGCCTCATCGCCTTGTGGAAGATCAGGGAACATTTTCTTAAGAAAACCACCTGGTTCGATTTGTACGCCCAAGTAATACCCCAACCAACTTACAAATTTAACAATTTGTGTGGCGCATATTTAGGTGCCCCTGTGTGGCAGTGTTGATTTGATTGAGTAAATTTCAAAGAAAATAGCATTGTTATAATGAACTTAATATTTGAGATATATTAAAAAAGCGAAAGTAAACATGATTGACAAAGAACATGGAATTTAGTACAGATGTGTCGGTTCAGGTTGTTACACCTTATGCGTGCTTACAGGTAAAGGGATCAAAATAAGAACTAACAGTAATAAGGAACTATATGGGGAAGAAGGAATGAACGACGTCCAAGAGTAACAAAGCTTAACAGTTTAGTATGAAACCCTGCACTTAATTTTAGGAAGAGCGTTTTTCATCAGGAATAACAACAAGTACAAACCAAATATGTGCCAAGAAATAAACCCTACAATCTGATCTATCAATCTCTTATCAATAGGCAAGTATCCTACAAAAGTTACAGGTATACCACATATGTTGATATCGACATAACTGACGATCAATGGCCTCAGTACCGGGTTGCTTCATGAAACGCCCTAAGGGATCCAATGTATTTCTAAGCCCTTTAGGTTGAAAACAAATGAACTTAAAGACTTTAATATTCACCAATCGGTTGTCATTTTATTTATCAGTTATGTCAACAAATAAAGTCTATAGAGACATGTACTTGAATATGTTCACATTTCATCTGACGAACCTAATTAAGGTGAAGAAATTACTATATCTAATACTAAAGATCTAACTCCTGTCCGCAAGAACAGTCAATCAAAGGTTTTGAATGACCTGGAAGAAGTATCCTCTTCGAGACGGAGAAGTCATGGAAGCCATTGATTGTACATATCAGGTTTTAAAGCAATTAGTCCCTTATATAAATTTAGATAGAACAGTGAGAAGACGTAATTGACCTGAAAAATGTGATGTATTTGCGCTATACATTTCGAACAACCACCTTATGTCTACTTGAACTTTTATTTAAATGACCTTTTAGTAATCTTCGTATAATAATGCCTTGATAAGTATAAGTATAACCAGATTGTTCGAAACCTATAGCGAAAATACATATTTTTCAGATTCTATATATAATATCTTTTTCACGAGCTAGTGTAAACCAATTGATTTCTTTGCGCTCGATTCTTGGTCTTTCGTTACGGTTTCAGGTGTCTTTTCACTGTTCTTTTAAAATATATCAGACTGTTACGTAGCACTAATAATAATTTGCCGAACAACGTTTACTCAGTAATAAACATTTAATGACTAAATTGTAGATAACGATGAACCCTAACCATGTCAGCCGCGCAGAAACAAACTGACGCGCTAACACAAGGTCAACTCAAAAATCCAATATCCAATAACGTTTTCATGAGATAGTATAAACCAGTTGATTTATTTGCTCTCAATTCTTGTTCTTTTCGTACGGTTCCATGTGTTTGGTAAGAATGGAGGTCTGGTCACTTGACTGTCTGATTCTAATCAGTTTGGTTGTGAGTTTGTGGATCACGAAGGTCAGACTAGTGTCACAGTCTTGGCACATATTAATATACGCTCAAATGGTTCAAACGGTTGAGAGTGTGTAGTAAATCCACTTTTATGAAGAGAAAGCGATTGGTTTATTGGAAACATTCATTATTAAAACCATCCGTACGAACCACTCAACTGTCTAATTCTAGTCAGTTGGCAGTTGGTTGTGAGTTTGTAAGTCTCGTGATCTGAATGAATACGTTTGTTTCAAGGAAGCATTGTTTCTGGATACCAGCAGCTATCACATTACCAGACCGGAGATCAGTTACTTGTAATGTGGAGAATAATAAGGATAAGATTCTAATGCTACTATGAATAAGATTTCAGAACTAAGTAGTATATAGATGATTTAGTTTATTAATTGGTAGTGAGGATTGCGGGAGAGGACCGAAGTGTAAACAAGGGAGAGGAAACAGAGATAATAGGTGAGATAGATTAATTGAGTGATCTGAAGAGATGGCAATGATAACAACTAGCAGGTCTCAAGACATGTATCAGGAACAGGTTGTCCAAGAGGGAGATGATAATCCGCATGTTAATAAGTGATTATCAAGTCTCTTCTTAAGGCTGTCCACTGAGATGGCTGTGGTCACGGCTGGAAAAACGAAGAGATAGAGAAGGTTGTCTATTCGGTGCACTGGTTAGGGGCAGATATACGACAATTATAATTGTTTTTGATGAAGTAACCAATTCCATCTCCCGAAGGTACAGAGGTTTAAAAGACCGTATGAACGGTCGTCAAATAATGAATTAAACATATAAATTTGAAGAATATTCCCATATGAATGTAGCTACAGCGATTTGAAAAACTTGAAGTTCTCAAGCCTTAAATTAAGGACTGACGAAAATATGGGTCGAATATGGGCAATGGTATTCATATAGTATTCATTATAGGGATGTGGAGATTGTTGAGTTATGCTGAAATCATGAATCGATTGATCTAAGACCACCAGTAAAAACCTAAAAGAACTGGATGGCCATTTTTCCTGGTGTGAGATTCATCAGCAGCTCCGATCCATGGCTCCTGCCACTCGCAGGAATCGAACTAGGGATCTTCGGTCTTGAGAGTGAACTCCTAACTTCTGGATCTTTGAGCCCTTATCTCACGTGTTAATGTCTAAATTCAATCGACCCACAGTCTTGAGCGACCTCATTTACTGTCTTCGGTGAGCGGCTCAGTAGTCCAAAGGCGAAACTAAAGCATATGTATAAGTTACTCCAACTAAGTCCAATTAAACAGCATTCCAACCTAGTTTCAGACGAATTTCCCAGTCATAAGGCAGTTCGAAAAAAGAGGAGCTCAAATCATCTAACCAGGCCATCGACAGTAAGTAAGAATGATTGATCATTGTAGAGCAAAGCCATTTATGATAGCTATTTATACCCTGGACTGTTTCAAATAAGAAAAAACTCACCCGTGTCTTGATCAACAGTGAAACCTGAAGCTTGACAAAGCGAAAGAAAATGTTAGATTGTTACCATCAGTATTAACACAAGAAAAGTATTGGAACTTTATAAAGCAATCGGCAGTAGACTCATAAATAGTCTGCATGCCACTCATAGGATGTACGACAATCAACTTGCACATAATCTAACCAAGTATCTAAGTTCACTATTCTCATATATCTCCAACAACGCAAAAATGTGCTCATGGGTCCCCAGTTTAATCGCAGAAGAACATCCATTTTATGTGGTATAGGAGGATCGTGACTATGGAGAGGATATGTCTGATTTCACTACTCATAAAACCTCACTCAGAAACAAGATAGCAACTAGAACTAATTCCTCTAAATCAACCGCTCGCGGGAGCCTTCAATAGGGACACATAACTAAAGGTCCTCATCTCTTCACACGCTAAACGTTAGCAAGACTTGGTACAGTACAGGAAGAATCCCGAAAAAGCCTACAACACACATCGCTGTCCCTTTCACTTCGAAATTTTAGGTGTTATTCAGCACGAATGAGGATCAAGGTGATTTACATTTCTACTATAGGCCTATCAGTCCCACTGATGCCATATTTAAAACCTTGGAGAAAATTTTCAAGAAGCCATTATTATCTTCTCGGAGAGCAAGAACACGTCAAACACCAAGTGTTACGCTTTCGAGATAGCATTATTATACTCAGAAAACATACTGATACCGACAGAGAGACAGACAGACTCGTCTAATAATGAGGAGCCAGTAGGTGTTGCCTTCATTGACTTTAGCAAATCATTAGGTACCAATCTTATTATCCCGGTTTAAGTTATAGCCAACATACAATAACCCGGCCTAGTATGTCTACTGACATATTGGACATGAAGATTTCTACATAACCACAACACTGGGTAGTCTTTAGTACTCTTAGTCCTGTGGACTAATAATGAAGCTCTACAGGAGACCTCAACTCACTAACATTCAGTTAGAACTAAACGGTTCAAAACCATGTAGGCCAATTGCACATAACCATACTCAGTACAGCGTACTAACTAGAAAACTCTTCACAACACCAATTCTTAATTTAAAAGTGATTCGAATATTTTTGTGAAGTTACAAAAAGACCGGTATCCATGTTGTTTTGGTTTTCTGGAATTTATTATACATTGTTAAACATGTGAAGCTAGACCTCTTCAAACTGTCTAGCAGAAGGATTTGAGGGGATCAGATTCTGATATTCAGGATTTCAAAGGATTATTATCCTCTTCGTTTCTTTAACCATTCTAGGATCACCTAGATGGTACACCAGGGGTATTCCAATATCTAAAGCTACAAAGTCCCAGTTCAAGCGGTTTATCTCAGAGAATAATCAAAAACTGAAATTCGTTACAGGAAAAGCAGTATATATACATTCAATGGCCTTATTCATGGGACTAGACACTCAAAGAAGCATACTAGAGGAGTGAGACAATCTGCATAAAAGTTTACAAAAGACGGAAATCAGAACAAAACCAGTTGTCGAAACCGAGATGGATCAGAGTCGCTCACATGCAAAACTCGAATTCTCAATCAGGTGAACTAAACAAGTGTTGCTTGGAGTTTCGCTGAAAGGGTTCGGGAAGAATGACCAGTACTTTTGTATACATTAAGGGGGAAGTTTGTAAATTTCAGACTTTAATTGACATCACGAAACTTACGTCATCAATATAATAGCCCTAATTGACAGTAGTCAACTAGAATGGCGTAACTTACGTTATCTCAAGTCAAAGTTGCACCATGTGGCCACCTGTCGCCCAGTTTCATAATACTAACTAGGAAGGAAGCTACCCAGTTTTCAGCTGATAGGTAAATAAACAAACCAATTTTTTGAGAACAGTATTAACTGACAAGGTCGACATAACGTGATATTTTCGTAAGATATTACATACTTGTAGATCGGGTTCACCAATGTAGATATTCGAGTCGAAGGACTATGAACACGTCTACAAACCATTCAAGTTAGGGTGTCAAGCGTCATCAAAAGTCTTTTGTCGGAAAAAAGATGAGATAGTCCAGATGAAGTAAGTGTATTCACCGGCGATTTCGTGGTATCGAAAGAATACCGAAATGTGACAGAGAAACTGACTTGGTAAACAGCAGCAAAAGCAAGATGGTGACCGACAAGAACGAAAGTGAGATACAGAAGTGAAGTCATTGCATACTCTTTTTTATGATTAGAATTCTAGACCACGACCAAGGCTCGTGGTTGATATTTAGATATGTAAACATATATTAGCTTCCTCTACAAAGCATATTCAAATTAGCAGGTTGATAAGCCAGTAAAATGAAGCTGTAACTTGGCAAGCACGTTTCTTTTCAACTAAACCGTATCTTGGTCATTAGTGATATTGTTAGCTTATTTCTCATATCCCTCCTTCCCATACAGTAGGTAACAGAATTTTCGACCATGCCTTTCTAGTTGATTATTTCTTGAAAACAATTTTGTTTTCACCTCAGAAGAGTATTTTCGGTGGCAATGAGGTATAGTTTATATTATTAAGCACCTACAATCTACCTTACTATAAACTTACTAGCTGTCAAACAACTATAAATAGAATTAGACAGCTTCGGAAATCGACAGTGTGAGTAGAAACGTTTTCCGTTACGCTGAATTTTTTCCTAATGAAATGATCTTATCGTTAGTACTTTCGATCAACTTATCATAGTCAGTGTTCACTTATTTTCTGATACAATTACTTTAATAATAGTGTCCAGATATAGAGATTAAGACGAGTGTTCTCTTATAGTTGAAAGTCCTTTAATATATATATGAACATCTCAGTGTCCTGATCAATAATCGAAATCAGTATTCGTTTCGAATGCCAGTAAATCACCTAATAGGTTACTGGAACACCTTATTTACCAAACGTTGATCACAGTAAATTTTGATAAATACAAACATCAAATACAAGCGCTTCAACGTACAATAAATGAAGGTCTAAAATTCACTGCTCTGATAACTGGTGAACAGGACTTTTTGAAAAAGCTCATATAATTAAAACTTCACTCTTAAGATAGCAGTAATACTTAAAAATTTTTTAATCCACAAGATAGAGTTTCTTTGTCACCAGTTGGTTTTTTTTATCACTTTTACTCCAGTTGTACCATAGTTCTTGTCCCTAGCGTAACTTCAAATGCTAGCTTTGTAAAAATTCAAGCTTAAAAAAAAATCACAAAAGCTATAAACATATAGCATCATTTAAATAACTTTTATTTCATACAATCAAAACATAAAGTAGTAGTAGTAGTAGTAGTAGTAGTAGTAGTAGTAGCATAAGTTCATTGCTTATATTGCTAACAGGAGACAAAAT